AAATGTTTTGAGAATGATGAGGGCAATGAATGTACAAATGCGCTTTACACAATTGATGTGTGTATGGATTGTGATAAAAGTTGTATGAGCCCCTAATAAAATTATTTTTTAAAAAATAGTTTTATGAGCCCCTAATAAAACAATTTAAAAAATAATGGTTGTACAACACAAAGAGTATAATCAATGGCACTGAATTATTCATGTAGAAGTTGTATAATTGGAGAATGTTTTGTTGTGTATATTTTTCCACAATTTTTAAAAAGATATGAATAACAATGAATATAAGGAAGAAGAAAATGTTCTAGAATTGGCTGTGGTGATGATTGTACAACTCTTCTTGATATGACTGCATTATTGAATTGTATGACATGTGGATGAAGTGCCAATAAAACTGTTAAACAAATTTTTTTAAAGACTCTAAAATAAAAAAGATTATTCATAATTAATTATGGTCCACATAATTGAATGCCTTGGCATAGTTAAATAAACACAAGTAAACATCTTTCTGGTATTCTCTGCTTTGAGCCAAGAGCCATCTAACATCAGCAGTATCTGTTGTTCCACATCCTCTTCTGAATCCAGCCTGAACTTCTGACAGTTTGCTGTTAATGTACTGCTACAACCATGGTTGGATGACCTTCAGCAAAATTTTACTTGCATGTGATATCAATGATATTGCTCTATAGTTTGAGCATTATTTGGGTCACCTTCCTTTGGAATGGACACAAATACGGACCTCTTCCAGTCAGTTGGCCAAGTAGCTGTCTTTCAGATTTCCTGGCCTAAATGAGAGCATGCTTCCAGTGCTTCATCAGTGTGTTGGAACATTTCCATTGGCATTCTGTCAATTCCTGCAGCCTTGTTTTTGGCCAATGCATTGAGTGCTGCTTGAACTTCTTTCTTCAGCACCATTGGTTCTTGCTCATATACTACCTCCTGAAATGGTTGGATGTTGAGAAGTTATTTTTGGTACAGTGTGACTCTGTGCATTCTTTCCATCTTCTTTTGATGGTTCCTGCATAATTCAATATTTTGCCCATAGAATCTTATAGGATTACAACTCAAAACTCTAATTTTTTCTTGAGTTCTTTACTTTTCCGATATGGTGAGTCTGATCTTCCCTTTTGGTTTTCTAATTCTAGATCTTGATACATTTCATTATACTATTTGGCTCAGTCTTTTCAAGCTGCCCTTTGAAATTTTCTATTCGGCTTTTTAACTTCATCCTTGATTCCACTTGTCTTAACTACTCTTCAATTAAGAGCAAGTTTCAGAATCTCTTCTGACATCATCTTTGATCTTTTCTTTCTTTCCTGCCTTTTTAATGACCTTTTGCTTTCTTCATGAATGACATAGATGTCTTCCCAAAGTGCATCAGGGGTTCTGCCATTATTGTTCAATGAGTCAAATCTGTTCTTCAGATGGTCTTGAAATTCAGGTGGAATAGACTCAAGGTATTTTGGCTCTTGTACACTCATTTTCATTTTTCTTCAGATTTATCCTGAACTCACATATGAGCAATTGATGGTCTATTCCACAGTCAGTTCCTGGTCTGATTTTAGCTGCTGACATTCAGCTTCTCCATCATGTCTTCCCACAGATGCCATTTGATTTCTGTGTATTCCATCTGGAGAAGTCCATGTGTATAGTCGCGGCTTGTATTGTGAAAACAAGGTATTTGCTAAGAACAAGTCATTGCTCTTGCAAAACCCTAGGGTGCATTCTCCAGGATCTTTTCTATCTCCATATTTTCCAACAACTGGTCCTTCATTTTTGTTTCCAACTTTTGCATTCTAGCTGCCAATTATTATTATTATTAGCTGGTATTAAAGGGTTACTTAATAAAAAAAATAAGAGATTATAGGATTGTTGGTTTTTTTCAGTTTCCAAATGGTTATTTTATCAGATTGTTTGAATATTAAATTTATCTTTGTTCGCAATCCAAAATAGTTACGTGAAGAGATTATAGTATTTTTAATGCCCTCATTTGCAGAAATAAACGTTGCCAACCACATATGAATCCCTTCCATTTTCTTTAAATTGCTCTGGCCATTGAATTCCCAAAGTAAGGGAAACTCTGGGAAGAGGGCATTCTAGGTCAATGGATTTAAAAATTTGTGTTCTCAGGACCACTTTATTATTTTTCAATGTATTATTAATTGAAATTTTATACATATATCATATCATTCCATAGATCAATCACATCAAGTAGAATTTTACAATTGCTACCACGGTCTGTTCCCAACCATTCTTTTTCTACATGGACTCCTTGACCTCATCTTCCTTTTACCCCACCACCACCACTGAACCCTCTTCCCCCTAAAACCCTTATTCTTCCTGCTGTCCCCATAGGTTCATCAATCCCGGATTTCATATACCCAAAAATGGAAAACATGTAACACACCTTTAAGAGAGTGACCTCCAATGACATAATACCTCTGAGATACACCCTAATCTGAACAAACATAAACAAAACCATACAAACCAAAAATATAGAAAGTGTGGAAACCAAATCATGTCTAGCCTGCATCAAAGGTTTAACTGTCCAGGTCAGATTGATGCCTTTGATTTTCTGTACTTATCTCTCCCAAGCACTCTGCTTAGTGACCGCTTTCCTCCCATCTTCAATTTTAGATAGGGGGAGTTCTCCAGAGGCTTATTTCCTCTACAGTTCCCCCAAATGAATCTTGGGCTCCCACTGTCATCCATTGCCTTCTGCACACTGGATTCTCACAATTTAGTCTCTGATACTAATCCCTCCGTCGACTTCAGATTATACGGATTACAATCCTTTGGTGACTGGTGATGGTGTGCTCCTTCCAACTTAGTTGACATCTCACTTAGATGGCTATTTGTTTGGAGACAAGCCTTTAAGGTCCCAGAGGCTACTTTATCATAGCCAAGCACCATATAATTTCATCACCACATTTTGCTATAGTACCGTATCTTCTGTTCCCTTCCTGAGGGCAAGTGTTGGGCAGGGCCATGATATGAGAACTAATTGTTCTTAAATTGGAGCTAGGATTTAGTGTAATCCCAATACCCATTTCTGAATCTATACTCTTTATTTATTCTTTTAACTTGTTATTACTTGGTAGTTAATACATGTCATATCATTCCGTAGTTCAATCATGTCAAACAGAATTGTATGATTGCTTCCATAATCAGTCTCCAAACATACTTTTCCTTCCTGGACTCCTTGACATCATCTCCCTTTTATTTCCCCCACCCCTCCAGTACCCTGCTCCCCAAACCCTTGAACTATTTGCTGTCCCTATAGGCACATCACCACTGGGTTTCATTTACAAAAAAAAAAAAAAAAACCAGAAAAACAAATAACACTACTTCAAAAGGGTGACCCCAATGTCATAGCACCTCTTAGCTTCACCCTAAAATGAACAAGCATAAACAAAATAAAACAGAATGTCCATCACAGGATTACCAGAATCATACATGTCTTAATACAGCATACAGGGTACTGATGTAACAAAACCTGGTTTGTCTGCCAATCAACAGTACACCGCTCTTGGTACCACTGTCTTCTGCTTCCTCAGACACTATGTGATTTCCGACTTCAGTCCTCAGGGTATAAGTGTGTCTGTGGTAGAGTCCAGTTCACCCAATGGAATTCCCACATGGGATCTCTCCTCTGGAGTATTTTGTGCTCCCCGAAGATCCAGGATTCAGTGTACCAGTGTTCCAACCTGGGTTCCCAAGATACCCCCAGAAACCCAAGTTCAATGTTGCCCACCCGCTGCACACCACCAAAGACACTCCCCACCTAGTGTCCACAAAAGCATCCTCAGTTAATCCTCCCCCAACCTGGAGGTCAACCCTCCCTCCCCTCCAACAGATATGCACCTATGCTCCCCAAAACCTGACTCTTCCCTCTCCCCTCTCCGGTGCTGCCCCTCCCATCAGTAAGCCTTCTCACTCTGACAGGGCTACCTCTCTCCCTCCCTGGGGGGCCTCACCACAGATCCACATGGCAAACACTCAGCAGACAGCCCAGTTATCAATTATTATCAATGCATTTTGATTGCATGTTTCATCAATTTCCAATTGAAGTTGTAGGTAGAAGTCTTCAATTTCTTTAACACTAGCTGTATTAGTTGGTGCACAAATTTGAATAATAGCTGTTCTGATTGGCTTTCCTTGAGAGTGGATAGATAGAACCCTGTATCTATCATCTAAAAGAGGTAACATCGTACTTTATGATGGATTTAGCAAGCTCCTTTCTGACAATGAATACAATTCTTCTTGATTGTGTTATTCTTGGCCTAATAAATCATCTGATTTTCTGATACAAAATGGCCAATACCAGTCTATTTCAACTCACTAAAGCCAAGGATGTCCATCTTTATACATTCCTTTCATTTTTGAAGACTTCCAATTTTCCTGAATTCATACTGCCAACATTTCAAGTTCTGATTACTAGCAGATTTTTGAAGCCATTTCTCCTTAACACAAGTTGTGCCCCATCAGCAAATGAAGATCCCAAAGGCTCCCCTCCCACAGGCTTTCACTGACTTCACCGTGGTCCACTCCACTCTGAGGAATCGCCTCCTCCTCCTCGGTCAAAATGTAATGCCCTTGGACCAGAGGGGCCCATCCTCCGACAATGTGCTGCTTCCGTTCCTTAGGCCTTCAGTGTCTGACAATGTTTCTTAGCTTTGCATCAACTTTTCAGTGCTTCTTTGCTTCAAAGTGGGGAGCTGACTTCTTCTTCATTGTAAATTCTTGGTCTCCAAGTTCTCCTGAAACCTGTTCACTTTGGGTGACCCTGCTAGCATTTGAAATACCAGTGACATATCTCTCGGCATCAAAGCAACACAGGAGCCACCGCAGTATGACAAACTGACAGGCAAGTTGTGGCACAGTAACTTATGAGACAGTAACTTGGAAGTATAGTACCTCCCCTTCCGCCCTCCCTCACAGGCAAAAATTTACCAGATTCAAATAATTTTAATCTAATCACCTGTGTATATCTTCTAACTGCAGATCTAAATCTTGAAGTTTCTTTTGATATTTCTCTGTAAACTTGAAGAACTCATTAAGGATTGAAGATTTCAAATCAGGGTACGGACATTCCAAAGTTTCAAATTCCATGGGCAGTGCGCTGAGCAGGTTAGTTTTTTCTTCTAAAGTGTGCTCTAGGATCTGAAAAAAAACAAAATTCTGAGATTATTTTACTTCATTTCAATGACAAATGGATGCATAAATAACAGACTGTCTTCATTACACTTACTTTCTTACTCCAGTCTGAAAGATCATTGTGCATTTTCTGTTGCTCCAGGTTCAGTCTTTCAAAAACATCTTTCAATTGTTTCTTCACACAGTCAACCTACAGGACATTAAGGATAACCTTTGTAGAATGCAATTCAGCCAATAGTGTTATGTTCCATAAATATGTCCCCTAATCACTGAATTTCAACCAATAACAAGACTCAATAGCACATAAGTGGTCAAAATTTGATAAGAAAAGGGCTCCTTGGGAACTTCTGAAACAGAATTGCAGAGCTGCCATCCGTCATTGAGAGCCACACAGCAGCCACACTGCAGCCACACAGCAGCCACTGCAGCCACACTGCAGCCACACAGCAGCCACATGTGGACTTTGTCTTTGCGGAAGCAGAGTTCCCCAGATTGTCTCTGCCGTGAGCACTCTTTCCTCTCCTCGCATCCTTGACTCTAATTCCCAGGGGAAAGAGTAGGCATGGATTTCTAATATTTTCACATTAAAAGTATTATTTTTAAAAGCAACATAATAATACTATAGAATAACTGAAAACAGAGTAATAAAAACCACCTATAATCCTACACCTAAAACCGTATGCTTCAGTCAAGAAAAGGTGTCAAATAAACTTGAAATGTAGTCAACTACTTAATATATGACCCTTCTAGCCATAATCCCTTTTGTAAATTCTAGCCTCTATGCCTGTGGTTATGATCCCATTTTAGAGGCTGTTCTCTGCTATAGGATTAATGTGGGATGTATTCTGAGTCTCAACCTTAGTAGAGGGTGGTCATTCAAGACACTATATGGTCCACTGAAAAACAAAAACCATAAAAGAATGAGTCATCTCAGAAGCAGGTAGAGAGAGAGAGAGAGAGAGAGAGAGAGAGAGAGAGAGAGAAAGCACAGGACCATCAGAAGAGGAACCACCGGAGGAGCACATTCATGAAGTCTGTCAGCAGTGGAGGAGGCTGAAACCAGAGGCACCTGAGACAGAGCAGAAAAGCAATGTGGAGACTATGAAACTGCGAAGCAGAGCAGTGGGTTTTTTTCCTGAACCACAGAGGCCCAGGGACTATAGAGGCCAAGAAACCATGTTAGAGACTGAGGACCAGAAAAAGCAAGGCCTGGCTGTGGATCAATGACTGTATTTTGACTGTGTGCTGATCTTGATATGTGCTAACATGTTAATTTCCCTAATAAATACCCTTAATCCTTAGTATTGTCTGTGAATTTTAAGTGCCTATTGGAAAGAATTACCAAAGCCAGCAGAGAAGTAGAGTATTATAGGAAGAATGGTTGGTCAGAATAGGTAAAGAAAGACAGAGGGTAGAGGTATGTCTGGCCCCTGTCTCATAGCCATATGGAAGCCAGAGGAGGTCAGATATGGCTAATAGTGAAAATTACATAAGAAAGAACCAGCAGGAGGTGAGTGATGTAAAAACAAGATGGTGTGATAGGGAGTGACTGATGCTTCTCTCCTGTGACTGGTCAGGACAGACTTCTTTTTTTTAAAATCATTTTATTGGGGGCCCATACAACTCTTATCACAATCGATACATCCATCGATTGTGTCAAGACCATTTGTACATTTGTTGCCATCATCATTCTCAAAACATTTACTTTCTGCTTGAGCCCTCAATATCAGCTCCTCATTTTCCCCTTCCCTCCCCACTACCCCTCCCTCATGAACTCTGCCTAATTCATAAATTATTATTATTTTGTCATATCTTACACTGTCCAACATCTCCCTTCACCCACTTTTCTGTTGTCCATCCCCCAGGGAGAAGGTT